CTCAACCTATGCCCATGTGTCTCCAGCAGTCGGAGGAAATAGATAGTGGAGGATACACTTCCCAGTTTTAGTACATGCTCCATGCTCCAGAGGATAGTGAAAAACCCCAAGATCACTTTGAGATATTCCGGGACGTCAAGTCCTTGTCTACCTTGAAGCTCTGTCCTGTGTATGTGAGCAACACTCAGCACGGCTAGTTAAATATCTTATCCCACTTTTACCCTCATTATTACAGATGAACAACTCTGTTTTTGTCAATTTGGATGACAGCCCAAACCCTTCTTGTTTGCACACGCAGTATAATAAGGTGTGTTGTTTTGATTTAACACAGGAACATGTAATTCAATGCCTAAAGGAAAATAATTGGGGCAAGCCTTGATGTACCATAGTCTTTCTCTGTCCTTTATGTCTTTGTGGGTTGTATATTTCTGGTTCATTTTTTGCATTGTACTGTGTGAACACAGGACCTCTTTTTCCTTATGGCCTAAGAATATTCATGCAGAAAATGTATTATTTAATTGTGACCGGCTTCAGAATTTAATTCAGTCAAAAATGAAAGAGAATTGTCATTGTGCAAAGGGATACCTCTAGGAATGGGACTCACCCTGGGGCTAGCAGGCAGATTGTTACAGAAAACACATGTGAACGTTGAGAAATGAGGTAAGAGGAGACACATCCTGTGTAAATTTTACAGGAAATTTGCTGATCATTTTTTAAAAAGTCATACAGGATAAAGCTTTTCCGTTTTTATAATCTAAGATGAAGATAGTAAAACCCAGGGCATGATAAATATTAGTGGTTGGTTGGTTGGTTCTGTGGGATTGCCCACAATGTGCTAGATGGTTTTCAGACAGACAAGATGATATAGTTCCTGACCTGGAGCTCACAATCTGAGGCCCCGGTCTGCAGACAACAATGTATGTGTTTGATTGAAGGATGGGCAATTAATCCCATCATCCAGATCATTATTAAAGATGTTGAACAAAACCGGCCCCAGGACTGACCCCTGGGGCACTCTGCTTGATACCGGCTGCCAACTAGACATCGAGCCATTGATCACTACCCATTGAGCCCGACAATCTAGCCATCTTTCTATCCACCTTATAGTCCATTCATCCAATCCATACTTTTTTAACTTGCAGGCAAGAATTCTAAAATCAAGATATATCACATCCACCGCTTTCCCCATATCCACAGAGCCAGTTATGTCATCATAGAAGGCAATCAGGTTGGCCAGGCATGACTTGCCGTGGATGAATCTATGTTGACTGTTCCTGATCACCTTCCTCTCCTCCAAGTGCTTCAAAATGGATTCCTTGAGGACCTGCTCCATGATTTTGCCGGGGACTGAAGTGAGGCTGACTGGTCTGTAGTTCCCCGGGTTCTCTTTTTTCCCTTTTTAAAATATGGGCACTATATTTGCCTTTTTCAATCGTCCGGGACCTCGCCCTGCCACGAATTTTCAAAGATAATGGCCAATGGCTCTGCAATCATCAGCCAACTCCCTCAGCACCCTGGGATGCATTAGATCTGGACCACAGGCGCCAACTTTCCTTGGTACCGGTGGGTGCTCGTGCCCCAGCCCCACCCTGACTCCGCCCCTCCCTGCCCCTATTGGACTGCGCACCAAATCCCCTCCCCGGCCCCACCTCTTCCACGAGCGCGCTGCGTTTCTTCTCCCCCCCCCCCCCCGCTTGCCGCGCGAAACAGCTATTTCACGAAGTAAGTGCTGGGAGGGAGGTGGGAGAAGCAGGACTCGGTGGCGCGCTCAGGGGAGGAGGCGGAGGTGAGCTGGGGCAGGGGGGTGGGGTGGGGAGCTGCCGGTGGGTGCAGAGCACCCACCAATTTTTCCCCGTGGGTGCTCCAGGCCCGGAGCACCCACAGAGTCGGCACCTATGATCTGGACCCATGGACTTGTGCATGTCCAGCTTTTCTAAATAGTCCTTAACCTGTTCTTTCACCAGTGAGGGCTGCTTACCTACTCCCCATGCTGTGATGCCCAGTGCAGCAGTCTGGGAGCTGCCCTTGTCTGTGAAGACCGAGGCAAAAAAAGCATTGAGTACTTCAACTTTTTCCACATCATCTGTCACTATGTTGCCACCCTCATTCAGTAAGGGTCTCACGCTTTCCCTGGCCTCCTTCTTCTTCCTAACATACCTGTAGAAACTCTTCTTGTTACCCTTCACATCCTTTGCTAGCTGCAACTCCAATTGTGCCTTGGCCTTCCTGATTACACCCCTGCATGCTCTAGCAATATTTTTATACTCCTCCCATGTCATCTGACCAAATTTCCACTTATTGTAAGCTTCCTTTTTGAGTTTAAGCTCACCAAAGATTTCACTGTTAAGCCAAGCTGGGTGCCTGCCATATTTGCTGTTCTTTCTGCACTTCGGGATGGTTTGTTCCTGCGCCTTCAATAAGGCTTCTTTAAAATACAGCCAGCTCTCCTGGACTCCTTGCCCCCTCATATTAGCCTCCCAGGGGATCCTGCCCATCAGTTCCCTAAGGGAGTCTAAGTCTGCTTTTCTGATGTTCAGGGTCCGTATTTTGCTACTCTTTCTTCCTTTTTTCAGGATTCTGAACTCAACCATCTCATGGTCACTTCTGCCTAGGTTGCCACCCACTTCTACTTCCCCTACCAATTCTTCCCTGTTTGTAAGCAGCAGGTCAAGAGGAGCACGGCCCCTAGTCGGTTCCTCCAGCACTTGATTGAAACCAAACCAATTGTTTTGGAACTGCTGCTGTACTGAAAAATCATTTATTTGCCCAGCTCTAACTGTAACTCCTACCGGGACATGGAAATCAATCAGGGAGGTTGCAAGGCATTGAAAATGTTATTACGATCTAAAGCAGAGAAAATAAAATTTCCAGAATTATTTCATGGTTAGCAACACCTTCCAAGTTTGTGAGATCATATGTAGGCTTATCATATATACACTTTTACTTCTATAGTAAACGTAAAGGGGTTGTCAAAATGTTTGACTTCAAATAAGGAGCCAAGTTCCAACAACCTTAAAAGGCTGAAAGACACTTGTTAAATAGAAAGGTCATGGTGCTACATAGCCACTGCATGGTCCAAATGACGTTAAGTTCAACTAGATTCACTCTACGCCAGTGGTTTTCAACCTGTGGTCCCCAGACCACTGGGGTCCGCAGACCATGTCTAATATTTCCAAAGGGTCTGCATCTCCATTTGAAATTTTTTAGGGATCTGCAAATGAAAACAGGTTGAAAACCACTCGTCTAGGCAGTACAGTCAGAAATTCTATGTTGTATCTTTTAGGAAAGTCAAACTAATACTATTTCTGCTAGTAGTAATAATGACGAGGGAGTTCTTTGAGTATTTTAAAATTCAAATATTTATAGAATTGTAACTGTGATGGATGATGTGATGAGAGAAGCGTCTCAGATTTGTTGACTCTTCTTTTGTTATCGCCTATGTGGAATAATGGCCAGGGTGCTGGAGCCATAAGCAGAATAAACTGCTTCTGTGGTTACGGAACACCTCAGCTTTGCTTTGCATTTAATAGCCTGCCAATGGCTCCTTTATTGCTCTGCTGTGCTTAGTAGAGAGAATTATTAAATCTCTGCTAGGGGGCACCAGTAAATTAATATATAAGGGGTGAAATCCCGGCCCTATTGAAGGCAGTGGGAGTTTTCCCATTGACTTCAATAGAGCCAGGATTTCACCCAGTATACCCCAAAGCCACCTGCTAGCGCAACAGGAGCAGATATGTGGTGGGAAAATATGAACAAGAAAGTATAAATAACATTACAGGGAGCCAAAATACCTGCTAACTGATCTAAGGGCCAAATCCAAGGCTGTAGTCCCCACCCAACTAACACAGAGTGTGAAAAGGGATACAATTAATAGGAACTTTGCCCACCCCAGGCAGTAAAGTGGCTGCAGAGCTGCTCCACCAAACCCATTCCAGCCACCGGTGCCACAGCATTAGTGGGAGGACCAGAGAATCCACACAGAAGTGAAGAGTCTGGCTTTGCCCCTTCCCTTATCCCCATCTTCACTTGCTCTGTGCATATTGCTCTTGGGGAGCCATTGCTGCTGCAGAGAGGGGTGCACCCAATCAATCTAGCACTACCCAGTGCATAGCAGAACTTCCCCCATCCTGGTACCAAGGGGGGGGGGTCTTTCCAGCTGCAGCTTTCAGAATGATCAAAGATGGGATTTTTCAAAGGTTCAGCACAGACCCTGCTCCCATGTTTTACCATTGACTTCAATGGCAGTAGAGTTAGACCAATGCAGAGTGCTTTATCCCACCCTGAAATCTCACACTAATACTTACGTCATTCAATCCAGCCAAACAATATAAATGCCCTTAATTTATTTTAATTTTTCCTTGTATGTTTTGATGTTGTTTGAATATTATTTGATTAGAAAGTTGGGAAAAGTTACCCTAAAAAGCATAATCCACACAGATCAAAGGAGCCTTCTGTTTCACAGGAGCATGTGTGAACAAGTCATTCTGTGGTTCACTTTATCCAGATCAGCATTAGCAGCTAGATTTGTAGTTCATCTTGTTCGTCTGAGAAGCAGAGCTGGGTAGGAAAGAGTTTGCCTGTCTTGTGAAAAATGTTGAAATTTCAAAAATATTTTCCCATTCCAAATTGAGGCAAAAAATCAATCTCAAACTTTTGTGAACAGGGAAAAAAAAATCAGTTTGGTCAACGGAAAGGTTTTGTTTCAATTTCAATTTTTTAAACTTTTTCTTTACTCTACATTAACTTGCATTTCTAAATAAAAAGTCATTTCAAATAAAAAAAAATGGAACTTTTCATTTAGTGTCTCATTTTACCGTTTTCTGTGACAATTTCAAAGTTTCCAGAATTTTCAGAATGGGAAATTGGTTGAAATCAACCCTTCCTCATGAAGTTTCAGTGAACTGGCATTTTCTGAGGGAAAATATTTTTGGTCAAAAAATTCCTGGTCAGCTCCAATGAGGAGTCACGTGTGCATTTGTGTTTTTATTTTCTTTCCTTAGGGTTGAAGAGGATTTAGAGAGGCTCTGGAGAGTGAGTTCTAAGCCAAAACCCAGGCTGCCATGTAAACCGGCATTGCCTAAGAAGCCATTAATCACCACTAAGAACAATGTTAGTCCAGCCCCTCCAGCAAAGCCGAAGGAAGACAAGATTCAAACCATGGACGAGGTAGACATTCTCCAGTACATTCAGGACAACGAATCTATCAGCAACCAAGACATGAGTCTCTTTTGAAGAGTCTATTTCTTTTTTGTCTTCCGAGGCTGCCTTATCCAAGCGCCTTTGACCTCATATGTGAGGGAGGCAGGAGTTAGCTCGAATTCTTCATTGTCACTACATTTGTCAACTTGTCATGATTAGGAGAGCAGCAAGTCTGATTATTTCACAAGCTCTAAGTGGTAAAGAGTATGTGTTTCTACACAGTGCAATTATGATCTAATGTTGCCTTATATTTTCAGGTTTTGTTTTTTTTAAGAGGTGTAGAAAATATACAACACTGTAGATTCCGTGTACTACAGTCATGTCAAATTATTGTAACATTAATCTATTACTAGACCGAAAGGGCTAGAGCAAACAGCATAGGCTACAAGCATGAATTCAGTCTAGTGGGGCCCCCTTCACTCCATTAGCTGGATAAGAGACCGTATGTTTCAATTAACTGGAAATATGACTCTTTTTCTCGTGTCCATCCTTGTAGCAACCTGCCCTCCCTTGCTGTCATTTCAGTGAGATGCAGCCAGTTAATGCTTATGTGGATACACTAAATTCCACCTCCTTTGTAGTTGAGAGGGAGATTAAAATCCCAAATTCCTGACCATTCTTCCCCTATTCAGGCACTCACTGAGTCCCAGAGAAAGTTGTCCCTACCCCCAGTATAGATACAGCCATATAGTGTCAATGTCTTGCCATTGGCTATTTAGATACACAAATTCCAGCTCAGGGGAGATCTAGCGCAATAGTGAAACAAGGCTAGACACTGCAAATCTATGTACAGATTTTCCGACTACGGATAGTCAGCACAGGAACATGGTGCAGAGTTAGCAAATGACTAGAGCTGTATTTCAGGCCATCTGTAGATACACAGACACGATTAGGAAGTTTGGATCTTTTTCCTGATCTAAACTTCAGGGCTTGGGCCCATCTCTATAAAGACATGGGAGTGGAATGATGGTCCCTTCGTTATCTGTTTAATTTTTATAGCCAGGCAGGAGCAACTTCGGGGTGATAAAATATTTTTTTTTTAAATCTGAATATTTTCGTGAAATTTTAGTGCCTGTGAAAAGAAAGAAATTAACCAAGCACCTCAAGGTCTCCAGCAGTGAAATGCTAGTATATTTAAGCCATGTCACACACCCCAAATCTGCCTTTTTAATGCATAACATAATAAAAAGCCTATAAAGCACTTTAAAAATATATTTTTTAATAATTACCATGTTCTCTATTCATAATTTTCTCTTTATTCCAAAAGATAATGTATTAAGTACATTTTTGTTTAAAGGAACAAAAAAATCAATATTAGATTTGAACCATGTAAAATAAGATTCACTATAATAAAATGACATGCTAACCGGTAAGTACTGTTGTTCTTTATTATATCCTAAAGTAAGGGCTGATGAGAGTTGAAAGTTGGGTTCTAATTACCTAAGCTGTGATGAATGGTCCGTTTTTATTGCCATATGCGTGCAGTAAAATATGTGTATAAATAAGAAAATATTGAAGCATGGTTCAGATAAAGCTTACTGATGGACACAGAAGTCTATCTATGGTTCTTATATGGCTTCCATTAGTATCTGAGCAAAATATTTAATTAGCCTCCACAAACTTCTTTTCCTCGCCTGCAGATTATAGTGACCTCAGCCCAAGAAGCCTTGGAATGTGATTCCTTTGGAGGACATGCTCAGTTGAGACATAATATTGACTTGGTGTCCAACAGAATGTAGTAAGACGAGCGTGGAATGGATTTTATTAACACGATCGAGCTGCTTGTGAAAGATTTTGTGACTATACTCGTCTAGGCACACGTGTGTATAATTCTCTGGAAATTTTGTTTAGTGATAATTTTGACTCCTTTTGACTAGTGACTTTTCAGGGTTTGTCTGGTGACTTCTGGCTATGTAGAGCTGGCAACAAACTCCAAAAAAAAAAAAAAGAAATAAAATTAAAAGCGATCAGTGTTGGCCTACCTCTGCTCCCTCTAAAATTAACAATTAAAGTCCCTTTGACTTCAGTGGAAGAAGAGTTAAGCCAATGCGGAGCATTTTTGAAAATGCCACCATATTGCTTCCTGTAATTATACTATTAGAAGCTACCATGAAAGTTACTTGGCTAGGAGGGGTGAATAACAAATAACAGATTTCCCAAGTATCACTTCACTGTTGCAAGAAAAGTCATTGTCTTAGAGCTATTTAGGAATAAATTCCAGTAAAGTAACCCCTAAACAGAATTTCTGCAATCAAAGAATGTCCTTTTTCAACAGGATGCTCAAGGATTCTGGAGTCAGGTTTTTCAGGAAGACATGGTGTTCTCCAGCTTTTCAGTAATAAAAACAATACACGAGAGTGGCATACCATGCCTCCTGTTAAGAAACACAAGGCTATCTGATGTGTCCGTTCACTAAAGTGATGGTGGACAGGCAATTGTTTAGATGGTAGCATGCTCAGTCTAATGAGTAGTGAAACCAAATCTGGACAATACCTGAAACATACAACCATTTCAACATGTGGTGGTAAAAATCTAGGGCTAGATCATCAACTAGCATAAATTAGCAAAGCCCCATAGAAATCATTGATGCTATGCTACTTTATGGCCCCTGAAGATCTGCCTCCTACTTTCTTTCTGTGAAAAATGTGTCTAGAAAAATCTAATTTTTAGAATCTCATGTAGATCATTAGCAGCTTTGTGGTTGCCAGTCAATCTACCTGATCTAAACAGATGGGATGTGACTAGTCTGATAATCTTGAGTCTGTGATAATGGGTGAAATCTGATGACAAGATGTAATTGGAAATGTATGCCTGCCTGATATATGTAGGCTGTTACAAAAACCTGATTTCCCTTTAAGAAGCAAGGTTGGGACCCTGAAATGAATGGGTTGTTAAGTGTTTCTATTGGAAGATGTGCTTCGTCCTCTTTTAAATGTTTATTAAAATCTTTCACAAAGCTATCTGTGCTCTATATTTACCCAAATAGCACATTTCTTATTGTTCCTATCATTTCTGTTCGCTCTTTGAGTTTCTTGGACATTGTCACTAATGATCCCAAAATTCCCATAGATTATTTTGTTGGTGGTAATTATTAATGCCAATAATTTCACCTCAAAAGAGCTAACACTAACTTCTCATTATGTAAGCAATCACTCCTTGGCCAGGCATGCCAAGGATCCCAGATATACACTGCTGACCCTGAACAAGAAAGTCTCAAGGCTTCTGTGGTTTATTTCCCTATTTATTGTTTTGGGCTCCTGCGCCTTTCTTAGCTTATCTTTTTTTTTTTTTTAACCTCTATGTGCTGCATCTGGCTATAGTTGTATTTTTCAGTAGTTTTTGAACCTGGGACCTTTAACTTTAAAAGTATGAGCCTGTATCATGTGAAATAAGGGAGCAACCTCCTTACCTGGCAGTAGTGACAGGCTTTTATCCTTTTGTGGATCAGCCATTAGAGGGAGACAAAAATAACACTGGTTTCAGAGGGGTTAGTCTGTATCAGCCGGGTTAGTCTGTATCAGCAAAAACAATGAGGCGTCTTTGTGGCACCTTAGAGACTAACAAATTTATTTGGGCATAAGCGTTCATGGGCTATAACCCACTTCATCAGATGCATAGAGTGAAAAATACAGTAAGCAGAATGTATATTATAGCACATGAAAATATGGGAGTTGCCTTACCAAGTGGGGGGTCAGTGCTAACGAACCAATTCAATTAAGGTGGAAGTGGCCTATTCTCAACAGTTGATGAGAAGGGGTGAATACCAAGGGAGGGGAAATTACTTTTGTAGTGCTAACAAGGCCAATGCAAATAACACTGTGCTAGTGTGGATTACACTGGTTCAATCCTACTCATCCACTCCATAGAGTTAAGTGCCTTGACACTGAGCCCAAATAGCTCTTTATCAGGGAAAAATCCAGAGAAGGAACAGGAAATTCCCATAGAGGCAGACATTTTAGATCCTATATTTAAACAAAACACAACCATGCTCACAGGATCATGAGGAAACTTGCAACAGTTCCCAAGGTTCTCATACTGTATAATATTTCATCAAACTATATAATGAGATAAATCATAGAACATCAGGAGGTCATCTAGTCTAACCTCCTGCTCAAAGCAGGGCCAATCCCCAGACAGATTTTTACCCCAGTTCCCTAAATGGCCCCCTCAAGGATTGAGCTCACAACCCTGGGTTTAGCAGGTTGATGCTCAAACCACTGAGCTATCCCTCTCTCCCCGACACAGTGCTTTACAGTGTGGTAATTGCAGGATTGACTTGGCCCTTCCAGATGTTGACCATGCAACAGCTCATGCCTGTCAGGGCTTCACACAGTAATTATACTGAATGAAATCTGTACCATTTGTATTTCACACTGCTCCTTTATCCATTTCTATTTTCTGTGCTTTTCCACTTTCGGTTTGACCCGGCAATAGCCTGTCAGGGTTCTTATAATGATACCAAATGAAGTGTATGGATTTGTATTTAACATTGTGATTTTTGCTCTATTCTATTTCTAGCTAATTACTAGCTTTCTGAAAGAAGTGCATGTTTCATGACTCACTCACCTTCTGAGGTGAGAGACAGTAAAAACTGTGAGTGTAGTAGTATTTTCCTCTCCTGGGAAGACCTGTATTTTAATACTACTACTTTGGAATTCTACAGCAACTGCTAGTAGAGAACCCCAAAGGGTCTCAGACATACAAACACTAACAAACTTAGCATTACAACACCTCTATAAAGCAGGTAACTATTTTTATTACTATAATTTGTATTACAGTAGCACCAGTTAATAGTGGGGTCTCATTGTATTAGGCACTTTACAAACACAGAGCTGAAAAAGAAAAAGAGCTGAAGAATTTATAATCTCAATTGACAAGACAGGATGGGAGAAAAGAAAGTATCATCTCCATTTTACAGATGGGGTACTGAGGCATAAAGAAACTAGCTGATATGTCTTTGGTTACATGGGAAATCTGTGGCATAGCTGGAAATTGAACCTAGATGGCATGAGTCCCAAGCTAGTATCTTAACCCACAAGACCAGCTTTCTTCTTTTGTATTATACCCATTTTACAGATGAGTAAATGGAAAGATAGGCTGATTTACCTTCACACAGTTAAACGAGAACCTGTAGCCAGGAAAAAACACAGATCTGCATCCTACCCTGGCCATGAACCTTTGAGGTGACCTGAAAATGAAAAACAAATGGGCTTGTGGTATTTTTTAGGGTGTTTGTTTGTTTGTTGCTTCTTTATGATGTATAAAGATGGCCTGAAATATTTTTCCAAAAAAAGGTTTATTTTAACACTTTTTTCTTGTATTAAAAAGTCAGGAAGACTCTATAATCACTAGACAACCAGTAACATGATGACAGCACACCTGACAAAAGTGAAAGATGAACAATTTGAGATAGAGTAGGACTTTTAGACATACAGTTGTATTTTGTTTCTGGTAAAAACCTATTTAATTCCAAAATGTGTAATGAACAGTTGGGAGAAAAGATGTCTTTATTAAAAATTCAGTACTCCTAACCCTTTAATAAGGGTGTAGGAACTCACAATACACATCACTGGCATCTCCAAGAAATCTTCTGCAAAGCTAAGGAAGACCACATTTGAGATGCCTGGAACTTTTTAAAGTAAAACACTGGAAGGAAAAGAACAAACTTTTAAAACCAGTACATTTTGTGGCAGCCACATACCTAAAATGGAAATGTTTTCAAGTACTGCAATGTAGTAGTTGGATTATATTTGCTCCCTCCAGACTGAAAACAACACACTTGCATTCTACAATAGTCTTGACCCTTATGAATACAATCTGTGAATACAGTTCAGACTGAAGAAATGTTTACTAACAAGCCATTATTCAAGAATATGACCACCCACTTCAGAACCAGAGAGAGCAATGCTAATCACTTAAAGCAGAAATGGTTAGATCACTGAAGGATGGTAAATTGATTAAGGTGGTTCTAATTTGCCATTGTATTTTTTGTTTTTATTTCACCTCTTTTTTTTTAGGGGAGGGGCTTGTGTGGAGAGTGACAATTAAGGTTTTGGAATCCAAATCCCTGGTTTAATTTGAGATATGAATTGAGCTCTTTCAAATCATCTGATACTCCCTGCTACTTCTACTTTATAGACTAGAGATCGCAAGCAGTTGCAAGTAAATCAGTGGCACATTTCTGCACTTAACGACTTCAGTGGGAGCACGATTATTATTATTAGGTATCACCGGTAGCGCTGCTTCTAGTTAAGGTTGCCCAGCAATTTCCACTATAAGACCCTGTTTTCGGTTCCCTATAACTTTGCCAAACTTCAGCCATTCTCAGTACTTTGAACAGTCAAGTCCTAGGTGTCTCA